ATTACACCGTTATTATATATTATGATATATTAAATATTTACTCAAAATATTTTTTGGGATATTGTTAAATCTTGTCTTTAAAATCTGTAATTTTTAATTAAATATTACGCGTATATTAAATTCTTTTTATATTCCTTTAAGAATGTGGTTTCCTCGAAAATTTATAAATGTTAGTTTAGAAATTAAATGTAACATAAATGTATAAATAACTTTATGTAATTAAAAAAAAATTATACAATTCAAATTCTGAATATTATTCTTCTCCCAGTTTCATTATTTTTGCAGATTTCTATTTATTTTAATACTTAAAATAAACTATATGTAGATAATGCAGAGTAAAAGTGAATGTAAAATTAAAAATATTTGTAATTATATTAACAAAAATATTCATTCAAATTGAATGAAAATATATTTATCCGTTTCTGAATAAATATAAAAAAAGTGTATTCATGTTCGTATCCATATTTGTTATTAATTCATTTATTTTCGAATATTGAATGTGGATATTTATCAGGCACACTAATTTTGATCTCCTTCAGTATGATGAATCTATATCGAAAATAAATTGCGTTGTGTCCGAATGTTAAATAGATCTTGTATATAAATAGTATTTTTTAATGTATAAAAGGATTACCCAATTATTACATGGAAAATTAAATCCTGCTGAAATAAATTTAATAATTTTTACATGTATACTTAATGTAGCTTATACTATATGATGTGACGAACAGAAAATAAAATAAATAATCATAGACACAAGACTCAATAATAGATAGTTTTTGAGCTATGATCATGCATAGAGCAGGTTTGATATACCACATATAGCTCAAAAACTATTCATTATTGTGAGTGTTGTGTTTTTTTTATATCTTTTGTCCACTACACTTATACGTGAAAACTAACTCATTTCGTCTATTTTGCATATAATTAATGCGAGGTTCTTTCATGCATTAAAAAATATTATTTATTACAAGGTCTATTTAAAATACTTGAACAAGGGATAATTTACTTTCGATGTACGTAAATTCATCATGCTGAAGGAGATCAAAATCTATGAAGAATTCATAATTATGTGAGTAATGGATAAGTATTATATTCATCATTCAAGACTAAATAATGAATAAATTTTTATTCGTTATTCAAAAATTGTTGAATAAACTTTTATTTATTATTTACAAGCGGCTAAAAAAATTTTTATTCTTTAAATTTTATTTATTTAAATAAAAAATTATTATATCCATTATATTATAATATATAATATTATAATATATTAGAATATATATATTATAATATCCATTTCCGGGACATACATTGTTTAATTATTTAAATGTAAAATATGTAAGTATATATATATATATATAAGGATTGCAAATTATTTTTTGTTAAATTTCAAAGATTCTTTTAAATATTTAAATATAATTTTCTTTTGATGCGCTCGCGATTATACACTAAATGCATAAAAATTTATGTAATTCTATATAAAATATAAAAGTATACATTAATTTCCAGCAAATTTTGCCCATAGTCAATCAATGATATCATCACGCAATGATTGCATGAGACCGAGGACGCATATATTGTTTAATCACGCATCAAAATTTGTCGATGCATCGAATCACTTGCAACACAATTTCGCAAGCAACGCGAGTGGTTTCATCGTTGACTCCAATTTCGCGGCTCATCACGGATTCCTTTAAAAACGAGCGCGCTAGTCCTGCTGCATCAGTTCGATTTTGACTTCGATCTACGAACAATGTATCTAAAGAGTTGCTGTGCGTTATTCCTGCTGGCGCTAGTCGCCTGTCAGGCTGCACCTTCATCTCAGGCAATTGAGAAATCAATTAATGAAGCAGAGACGTTCGCCAAGACCAACATAGAACTAGAAGGAACTGGTGCGGAAAAGGATAGGGCGAAGAAATCGGCAACGACCTTCTGCGTAGAAGTTCGCTCAGGAAAGGCAGAAAAGATTCCTTGCACGCAGGAGCTAAGACCACAAGGGCTTGTTCAACAAGAGACATCCAAACCGGTGGTTATTGTGCAACCTATATCAATACCAGCATCAGTACCAGTGCCGATACCTACAGTTGTCGAGTATCCTAAACAGCCGCTTGTGATCCATCAACAACCTCAGATTCTACCTCGACCAACTCCTCAATTCGTAGCACCACCACCATCTCCTGTGCCAGTAAAATTGCCTGCTTCAGCGCCAGCTTCAGTTCCGATTATTGACATCGTACCGCCAACTCCAGCTTCTACACCTTGCGACAAATCACCCATTGTGCAGCCGGCACAGTCACAAGTTCACACGCTCCATGTCATTCATTCGCAACCGACACCGCAGCCATCCAGGATAGAAAGGCCGCTATTTAGACCGATTTTACCACAGGTAAAAAAAATTATCAATTTGAATAAATTATGAAGAATAGATTATCAATTTGATAAATTATAAAAATTTAAAGTTAATGGTAATAAGTGATAAATTTTAAGATAACTTCTTTTCAAAATTTACTCAAAACTCGTTATTTACCTTAATTTTTAAACATTCAACTTTAAAGTGATTAAAAATCTATAAAGATTTAGTAATTAATCTAATTAATTTTCCAATTAAATTAAATTGATTATAATATTATGCAATTAAAATCTACTTTAAAAAAAATAAAAATTAATAATAAATTAATATTTTGATTTATTTCTCCTTCACAATTCAATCATTAGGTCTGTTTTTTATTGCTACACTTTGAACCGGTGCAATAAATTGAAGTGAAATAAATGTATATTTGTTTCATTTCAACTTATTATACTATGTGTACCAGTTCAGAAAGTGCAGCAATAAAAAACAGACCTATTGCAACTTTTGCAGCAATCGATTGTGCTGCCTACCTGCAAAAAATGTAACAGACTAATGCCGCCACCATTTCCGCCTAAATTTCCAAAACTTGATGGCTACAGCTTGAATTACCCTACAGCTTTTACCGATGTAAGTGGAAAATATTATTAAGTTCTAAAAGTACTTTTTAATTTCTTTTAAAACTATAAGTTGAGTTTGCACCAAGTTCTTGTACTTCTTGTTTTCTGAATCTGTAGTTTTTTTGTAATATATATAATATATATATATAGATGCATCATATTTTACATATAAAGACCTACAACTCGTTATAACAGTAACGACATCGTTATATTGTCGTTTTAACATATATTACGTATACCGTTACGATGACGTTATTGTTATTACAGAATATAGGCCAAAGTATTTCCATATTAAATAAAATATTATTTTATTTCTTGCTGGTGTAGCTCTCCCAATATGGACAAAGCACTGATTGTGAAGTAGAACCTACATTCGAATGTAATTGCCGACCAGAAAACCGCGTTGTTGAGATATCACCCCACAAAATCAAGATTCAGGATCCTCGTATGGCAAATGCTGGCGGCGCAACTATCGATTCTATAGATACCGTACCTTTCAACTCTATACCCCATAGATCCTCGATGATCTCCAGGGAACACGACCCTAGCATTTCTAACATCATATCGGACCAATCCATATTCTTTGCTTCAAAAGGAGCTAGAGAAGCGGTAAGTACCAATTAGATGTATTAAATAGTAATTATCATACGGTCCCACAATAATTTTGAGATAATACGGACGCCATGCCCCAGTAGTGCGATATTCTTAAAAAGCAATAAAAAATGCAACATTAAAAGATTCCCATTTGTGCAATTCTATTGTTTCTTTAAAAAAATTATATAAAATTTTGTAAAAATCTTTATAAAAAGCTCGACTGCAGTTTGTATAAGAAGAGCTACATAATATTTGATTTCACGCGCAGGTTTAATCCTTTATATCTTCGATGACTTCATTAAAGGAATTGGACCAAGAAAGCTTAAAAAAACCAAACGTTTAAAATATTTAAAACTTTGTACAAAACACACGTGTCTTCAACGAAGACGTTCTTATGTATTGTTTGTTCACAAAATAAAAACAATTATTCATAAAAATCTTTCCAATACTGTTCTCCCTCTTTCAATCCTCCGATTAACATCCAATTTTATTATACTCGATATACAGCATAATAAATTTCTGAAGCAAAGCGCTACATTTGGAATCTTTTGATGTGTATGAAAAGAAACATTAGTTGTGCGATCAATTGCTGAAAATTATAAATAGAAAATTATCGTATAGCAAATTCGTGCAGAAAGAGATCAGTATCAATTGCACATATATTTAAGTTAGAAATGATACTTAAAAAATGCAAATACTTGATTTTAAAACAATAAATTCTATTTAAAGACACTTAAATACTAAATATATCATAATATGTGATTTTTACAAATAATAAATATTGAATTTTTTTTTACAGGAAGGAAAACATTCACATCGTAGGAAACCTTACGCAAAATTCCCCGTAAACTTTAATGTGGAATTCCCTGTTGCATATGGAACCGACGGTACCAGCCGTACTTATCTACCTGAATACTATCCTTCATATCCTCCATATCCTTCAAACTCTTACCCTTATGGAGCCTATGAAACCTATGGAACTTCTTATCCAGTAAACTACGACTCTCTAGCTTCAGCAAGTAATGTACCAGCAATCACTGTAAATGCAGGAGGACCATTTTATAGTCCTCGTGAATCTCAACTCACTGACTCATTGTCTCAACCGAATAACGAAGCGCAACCAAGAGCGTTTTCGACTGATATTCAATCAAATTACGAGCAGAAAGAAATTACACAGACCGACAAGGAAAGCATCATCAAGGAAATAATTCCCGAAACTAACGTAGTTACAGAGACGTAAAAAGAAAGGACAAAACAAGTCGTTATTTATTTTATTTAAAGTATTGTGCTTAATTATCTAATAATTTTTTAATTTTTCTACAATTTTTTAATTTTTCTATACTATATTGAAAATATTGTTAGTTTAAACAAATATATATTTTCTATCAATAAAATATCACTTTTTAAACCGTAAATTATGTATACTTTTGACCACTCACCGTTTTGAATTCTGCACTCCCATTTTTGTGATTTCCTGTATTATATTTCCGTTCTGTATAATTCTCTTTTACCATGAGACATATTTACACACGCGATTTGTTTCCGAACCGTATGCTTCAAAATTTTAGAATTATCACAATCGAGATTGAGTATAATTTTTCGAAACGTTTTAATTGATGTTCATGGATAAATTCACGTTGTTTTAGATTTTATCCTGCAAAATAAAAAATGTTACATATAATAGTTAAATTCAGTATATTATTTATAAAACAACAGCGTTTAGCAAAATATTTATTTTGCAGCTGAAAATTTTCTTCACGCTGATTGGATTATACTTTTAGAGAAATAGTCTTATAATCTCTGGAAAATAGTTGTAAAATAACAATTGTAAAATAAACATTTTGCTGAACGAGATTCAATAATTAATTTTATAATATAAATTTATCTGCCATAATTTTGTCTTTTTAGAAACATATTATCCTTTATTAAGATAATTTATTAAGATTTGTACAGAAACTGAATAAATTTTAGTATATATAATATAAAGGCAAATATAAATATACAAACGCTAATATTCTTATAAGCAATTAAAAATATCAACCTATTGAATTTTATTTTATTGACATTATTATTGAAATGCTTGAAACTTATGAATGACATTATTTATTATTTCTTCTAAATTCGTTTCCAATTGCTGGAAACACCATTTGCTTGTTGTTGGACACATTAATACTATGGCGATGGTGCATATTGTTATAGGAGCAAGTAACTTCGAAATTAACTGTAAAAGGATTAATTATAATTAGTTATAAATCAATTAAGAAAATTTTAGATACATGCATGAAATATCCAAGATATAAGTAGCCATCCTAGCAACATTATTGCAGCTGTGATTAAATACGGAACATATTCCGGACGAAAAATGTTGCGCAAAAAAGGAATTTTATCGCTCAAATCAATCAATATAACTTCCAACTGTGAAATGATTAATGACATAATTATTAGAATAAATGTAACTGAAAATATTGGAAAACTTACATTCATTTTGTCTTCGATAAAAAAATTTCGTAAAAACAATTTTAATTTAATTTAAATAATAATCGTTATACAATATGTACAAAATTTTACTGTTACAAAATAATTTTTACAGAATGTGTGATTTACGCAATAAATTTTGTCATATATATTTTTGCTATATATAATATAATGAAATTTTAACCGATTGCACTAACGTAGCAATAAACTGACTACTTCACTACGTTTAATCCTATTTGTATATGTATATAGTGTGAATACTAAAATAGTTCTCAAAATCTTTTATCTTTTCTCTCTTCATAAATATATAAAAAAATTTTTAATTTCTCAAAAGATCATTATACAATAGATTTCATAATAATAAATACATTTTATTTCATGTTTATATAAGTCATATAACAAAGTATAAGTTGTATAAACAAAATAAATTATTTTGTACAAATGATTCTCTTCCTGTGATTGTGTGTGTGTGTGTGGATCCTTTTTTATCAGCAGTCAATATTAAATGTTCTTACGTGCAATTGATTCTTCCATTAAGCTATTATCCTGTGATTGATTTTGTGCAGGTTCAATTATACCATTGTCTGATAATATAACGGAAAATTCATCTTTTAAAAACCGAATATCTTGCGGTATTTCTTCAAGAATGCTACTTTTATATGGCACAAAAGGAGTTTGCATGTCAAGCTGAAGCTGAGCAAGACGTTCTTGTTGAAGAGTCGTTTCCTGCTGTTGATCGCATTTAACAAGAATGCATAGTTTGTGAAACGCCGAAGATGTCATTCTTGCCATCAAGATTGTTAGAAGCTGTACAGGACCAGGTGTTCAAAATTAACTGACCATGGGGCTACTTGACCCTGGTCTTGATTACATATGTTTAATAAATAAAATATCTATTAATACTCTTTTATAATAACCCTTACGGAAAATACTCTTAAAATTTAAGCGTTTACACTTTAATAAACACTGAAAAAATACACTCAAGGTAACACTCAATTAATGATTATTTTGGACGCTCAACCTGAGTATAACTCTCAACTTGAGTGTTATTGATGACTTGAATGTTGAGTGTTAATCTCAACTTGATAATTAACTTTAGTGTCAGGGTGAAATCACACGGTGCGGAAAATGATTGCGTAACAAAGAATGCGTCATTCAGCGGACCCAACAGTGAGTACTCGCTGTTATTGGTATATTCTTCTAGATCTAAAATTCTGATTGCATGAGCTAAAAGAATACACTAATAACAGCGAGCATGGCACTCGCACTCAACTGTTGAGTCTGCTGAATGCGCCCATTGAAACAACCAATTAGGGCTATTCGGAATAACGCAGAATAAAGCTGATTGGTTGCTTTTGTGACATATTTTCTTTTCCGCACCGTGTGATTTCACCCTTAGACCCTATGTACAATGGAGGAAGTATTATTATAGGAATAGAAATAAATATTAAAATTTCAAAACAAATAAAAATTTCAAAACAAATAAAAATTTTAGAACAAATTAAAATTTCAGAACAAATATTAAATTGTAAACGCCATTATTTTTAAGTACGCAAATATTTGCGGGCATCTACATTCAATATTTTGGCATTTATCTTAATCATGGAAATTAAAACTCAAATAATTGTTAAGTTTATATACTCAATTTTGAAGACACTCAAAAGTTTAGGGTTTACGCTCATTTATTGCATGTCATACCCATGGTATAAGGATAAGGGTATGCTCATGCCGTGGATACCCACTGCGCAGTCAAAGTGTGATGTCACTCTCGGGGCCAATCAGACCGCCCAAACGAAAACATGGCGGCTCCTGATGCTTGACACCATATTAATGTTCGGTGTTACATACACAATGTCCTGTTCTGTGAAAGGTTATGGCAATTATTTTCGCAAAACAAAATTGCTTAATGGAAACAGTATAAAATATTGCTGTA